CCTCCCCTCTTTAATTTTTAAATAAAATACCTCATACACACATACAAATCATATATATATTATACACACACATATATATATATATATATATAAATATATATATAAACCTGAAATAATAGCCAGAATATTACAATATCCCCTCCTTAAAAGAATTCCGTCCCGGAATTCACTTAAGCAAAAAGGTAGGGATATTTCATCCTCATTTCCGACTTTGGTTCCCAGGTGGCATCTGATCCCTTATGATAACGCCACTGAACCTTTACTAACCCAATCTCTTTGTTTCGTAACTTYTTCACTTTATAGTCAGTAATCTGCTCAGGGGTTTCTTCAAAACATAACTTTTCATCTACCTTAATCTCAGGTAACGGTACTGCCACATCTGGATTTATTAGACATTTCCTCAAATTTGACACATGAAACGTGTCATGAATTCCACTTAATTCCAAAGGAAGTTCTAACTTATATGCCACTTCCCCAACTCTTTCAATAATAGAGAATGGTCCAACATACCTTGGACTTAACTTCCCTCTCTTTCTGAAACGTACTATTCCTTTCCAAGGTGATACTTTTAACATTACTCTATCACCTATTTGGAACTCAATCGGCTTACGACGTTTATCTGCATAACTTCTTTGTCTATCTTGTGCCGCTTTCATTCGTTCTCGTATTACCCCACTTTTATCTGCAGTTTGCTGAAGTAACTCAGGCCCAGCTAACTGTCTTTCACCTATTTCATTCCAGCACAAAGGAGTTCGACATTTTCGTCCATACAAAACCTCAAAAGGTGCTGCCTGAATACTCGAATGATAGCTATTGTTGTATGCAAATTCAACCAAAGGCAAATGACTATCCCATGACCCTCCGAAATCAATAACACAAGATCTCAACATATCTTCKAAAGTTTGGATAGTTCGTTCACTTTGTCCATCAGTTTGAGGATGATAGGCTGTACTTAGCTTAATTTGTGAACCCATTTCCCTCTGAAAACTCTTCCAAAACATAGAAGTGAAAAACGACTATCTTTATCAGAAACAATTCATAAAGGAACACCATGACGTGTCACTATCTCATCAAGATACAACTTTGCCAATCTCTCCATCGAATATGACTCTTTCATAGGTAAGAAGTGTGCAGATTTAGATAACCGATCTACTATCACCCATATTGCATCATACCCCTTTAATGTTTATGAAATCCATAGTAATATGATCCCATTTCCAAACCGGAATTTCTAAAGATTGCAACTTACCATAAGGACGCTGGTGTTCAATCTTTACTTGGARACAWGTCARRCAYTGTTCAACATGTTTAGCAATATCTTTCTTCATACCTGGCCACCAATAATGTTGTCTCAAATCCTGATACATTTTATTTGTACCTGGATGTACCGCAAAACGTGATTGATGAGCTTCATTCAAGATACGCTTCATGAGATCACCATAACATGGTACCCAAATTCTGTTCTGGAACTTCAAAATTCTTTGTCATCCTTCATCAAATCAGACATTAATCCACCTAATCTTTCATATTTGATCTTATCCTCTTTTATTGCCTCATGTTGAAATTCTCGTAACTCTTCTTGAATATTGGGTAATAACTCAACTCGTAAAGCTATAGCTTTGATAGTTCTGCTTTTCTCTTGTCGACTTAACGCATCGGCCACTACATTTGCTTTTCCTGGATGATACAAAATCTCACAATCATAATCACTCACCAATTCCAACCATCTTCTCTGTTCAGATCTTTCTGATGAAATAGATGTTGCAAGCTCTTATGATCTGTGAATATTTGGCACTTTGTTCCATACATATAATATCTCCATATTTTCAAAGCAAACACTACTGCCGCTAACTCCATATCATGAGTTGGATACTGTCTTTCATGATCTTTTAACTGTCTGGARGCATAAGCTATTACCTTTCCACGTTGCATCAGAACACAACCCAAACCTAACTTTGACGCATCACTATATACCACAAAATCTTCCGCTCCATCTGGCAAAGATAGAATCGGTGCACTACACAATTTATTTTTTAACATCTGAAAAACCCGAGCCTGTGCTTCATCCCACTCATATTTCACATTCTTTTTGGTCAACTTCGTTAATGGAGTAG